GTGGCGAGTGCAACGCGTGCTGCTGAACCCCTTGCTCAAAAACCTCCGTAGCTGACCTCTGTCAACTGACCGCACTCGACAACAAGCTGCTCACAGAAGGCGGCAGTAACAGCGCTGTAAACACAGAACCACAAAAGTGGGCAGAAGAGGAACGGAAGAAGTGAACGAAATATGAAAGAGAACTGAAATTTCAGTCCCATTACAAACAGTCCCTTCCAAATCTGATCAAAATCCATGCAAAAGCTGAAGAAAAACTTTCAGCGTGAGGAGCCCTGGGACGGCGGAGTTCGTGCCATTATGCGATTTTTCCAGAACGCGTACAAAACAAAAACGTATAATATGTGTAAATTTTGAACTGGAAGGCAGAAAAAACACTGTTCAACAACTGTAAAAAAAAAAAATGAATGTATTAGTAGATAAATTTTACATCAGATTTGTACAATGACAACTGTTGAGTAGCATCTGATATAGCAAAAGATATGCACCCGCGCATGATAACAAATTTGTCTTGGAAGTACAAATTATGTGCCATTTTTAATGACACTGGAAGCGAAGCAAACAGACTGTAAGCTACAGACGTGCTTTAAAATGTGAGCGATACAAATTCAAATTAGATTAGCTACAAGTCAGTAATCCAGACGAAACTGGAAAGAAGAGGGAGAAGTAACAAAGGTCAAGAGAGAAAAGACTGTCCAGTACACTTAATAAGGCGAAAGCTGGTAGTATGCTTAAATATTTTTTAAAATTTAGGATCCTGAAAATAAAACAAACACAACTAAGGGTGTGCACTGATGAAATTAATACGAAATTTAGTCCACAAACTCTGCCAGCAGAAACGTCGACTTGGATCTGCAGTTTACAGATTTGATTTGAAGTTCAACTTCAGTCAATAGGAAAACACACACACACAGTCAGTTTTTACATCAGTGTACCTTTGCACGGGCAAAATGAGCACGACTAACTAAAGAGTGAAAAACAATAAAAACATGAACTGGCATAATAAGATTTAATGAGATCAGAGTTACCTTTCATAGTCATTATTTGAGCAAGCACGTCAAGCAATTCGCACAAAGACTTTCGTCTTAACGATGGCCCTTGGTGCTGTGAAAATATGGCTCGAAAAAGAGCAAAAGCCGAAGGCTTGAATTATTTATCTTCATTTCAGTTTCTGCACCAAAAAGACAGCAAGCATTTTCTAACTTCTTTTCTCCTACAGTACCGTGAAAAAGCGCATAAAAAACCCCGGAGAGAAGGACAAGCATTTTTGGCCCCTTGAGACTCTAAAAGATATCAGTGCAATGCAAAAACCGTGAGCATGCTGCTCTAAAATAGAGAAAAAAAGATAAAGAAATCGTTTCTTAGTCAAGCGAACCTGACCTCTGAAAATACCTCCAGTTCATTTGCTGACTGAAGAAAGTTAAAATACGGTAGTTTATAGAGCGATACTACTGTATGCGACACGATTCGTCTTGTTTTAGCTCCTCCGCAATTTTCCTCTGATAATATTCGACAAAACTTTCGCGTAGCGAGTTCAAGTCCTTTTCGACGCGTTCGAGATCTTCTGCGACTTTCTTGATATGTTTTTCAGCACAGCTTAGGGACATTGACTTTGGAGTTGTTCTCGCTGGTTCTGGCTCCGATTCCGACATCGAATCACCTAAAATGCAAGAACATTTGCGATTGGATGTTCCAGTTTTCTAAAGAAGTCAGTGGATGCGGCTTGTTCTGGATCTGCATTAGCGCAATCTTTTCAAAACAAACGAATTGGAAAAAGAAGCTTGCAAAAATAAGCAGCAACTTCCCGATGCAACAAGGAAACGATGATTTTTTATGACATCCCATGCTCCTCCAAACTTTAGTTTCTTCAAAAGTGCGAGTGATTCAATAAAACATTCCTGCCCCTCCTGCCATTTAAAACGATCGCGAAGATACGTCACGTCAAAGTAAAGAGCCGCTTACCCAAGCAGCAATTCTCTGCTCTAGATCAACTATAACTCGCTCCCTACTGTTCAGGAGATAAAAGCCAAAATTGAATCCACAAATGATCAGTTTTAAATCAAAAAAAAAATTCTAGAAACCTAAGCAGTACGATTTATTTGCATCCAGTATTGGTGAAGCATACAGAATAATTCAACACACAGCTTTTTTTTTTTTTTTTGAATTCAAAAGCTTATATTTGAAAGACGGATACAAACAAACACATACTTCGACATCCCAGCAGGCGATCAACACTTGGAATGTCGCCAGTGATTGCCTTTGCCGCTATGTCCTTCAAACATTTAGCCAATACACGGCATTCCAAGGTTGTGTTTAACTGCTTCCAGATGAACTTCGACGTTGCTGCGGATAGCTGGATCTTGCCGCCCTCCGAACTTGACGAGCTCGCCATTCCCTGCGATATTTGTGCTGATCCCGGGCCGTCATTCTTAAAACAAAAAATCAGCGAAAAAGACAAAACAAGACGTAATCCAAAATAGCACTTACATAGATTCGATTTTAAAACATGAATGCTGAATTAGGCAGCAATGTATGTAATCTTTCAGCGCAACAGTGACATTTGGAAAGAGTAATTTTTTGATATTTCTCTCGTCATGGGACAAAAATCTTCACGGGACTGAGGAAGAGATGTTTGAAAATTCGTAGAAGTCCGAAGGTTAGACAAACATAAAACACAAAAAGAATGTAAAAATAGATCAAAAAAGTAAAAAAGCTTAGCTGCTTAAACAAACCCCTTCGCTTTAGCTAACGTCTTGGAAAATTTAGTCTAAGGTTAGGATCTGTAATCAATACTTATTCAGGTTCACGCAGCTGCAAAACTCAGGCATACTGATTTAAAACAAAGCAAAATAACGGCAACCTTAATGCAGGAAAGGTAAGCTTTTGAAAACGTGGAAATAACATAGGGCCCTTTGAGGAAGAGGAACTGATTTCAAGAGGAAGCCATTATTTCGATTACCAAAAGGATGAAAAAATGTGAACTGGCCAAAAGCGTAGAATCCACAGTGAAACTGCCTAACTTTCTCAAACAGCAAAAATTTATCGGAGCTGCTTTTTGCACGAACAGCTGCTATGCGCCTAATGGTAACCGAAACCACAAGCTTATTTCTGGGATAATTGAAAATGAAAAATAATGTAAAAACAGGTTTACCGCGCCGGATGTGATCGGCGTTTTTGTGTCGGGAAAAAATTTCGTAGAATCGATATCGAATAATGAGAAAGCATCCGCTTTCGGGGTCGCCGAACCACTTTCCAGTTTACAAGCAGCATCCATTTTCATTGCCTACAGAACGGACACTCATTTAAATTCTAGCAATAATTATGAATGAAGCATCTGGGGCTTTTTAATGCAGTTAGTTGTAATACATCAAAGAGGCGACATGTACTTCGTTTTCCTTTCGAAAACTTAATTCAAGAGAAACAGAAGAGTTTTCATTTCTCAGTAGCACTGTTCTGGAGGAACGGTGTGAAAAACGTGAGGGAACTAACAAGGATGTTATCTTCGAGATCGCGAATGGCTGCTTCTTTAGAATCGAGCATTGCATTCAGTGATTCATTTTGCAGCTCCAGAAATTCATGCTCCTTCTTGATCCGATCCATATCTTTTACTAACTGTGCGTTGCGTTCCAGCTCACTCTTCAGCATCGCGATTTCTCGCTCCTGGAAAAATCCACGAACTTCCGCAGTTGTTTGTTAAAAGCAAAAAACATCCTCAACAATTTCTCCCACCAATCGGTTTGTAAACGCACAAAAAAAACGCAGTTTCGCAGTTTGCGAACGCGTTGCTGCTGTTGCAAAATTTGCTTTATGCGCTGATCAATACTGCTACGCATCAGCAAGAGTTACTTGCAAGATTCAGTGTTGTACTGAAAATCAAAAATACATTCAACAGTGATCATGGCCCATTGTCGAACTAGCAGTCTGAGGGTATTTTGCTACTTAGCCTTTCCTGAACGTGGATGTTAATTTCTTCAAACTCTAATTTGCATCACACTTATGCATCCTTCACGGATTCGATGACCACTGCAACTACAACTTTCCCCTTAACACTTCGAAAATTTGTAATTCCTCGCAAACGCTAACTTGTGCAGCGATCTTTTCCAAAGAAGTTGCAAGAGTGCTGTTACGATTCGCATCAATGGCCATCGCTTTTTCACGATACGCAACACATTCCTTCTCCAGTTCACCCAATCGAACTTTCACTTTTGCCAGATGTGCTTTTGCCTCTTCGGACTCTCGACGGAATGCGTTTACCTGCAGCATTTTCGAAATATCGAACTATTTTGAGAACTCCAACATGTTTCATTAAAGCCACATTCTAAAAATTTTTCCTTTCACCAGTAAGAAAGAGAAAAAGAAATCGTCAATACCCTGATAAATGTGAAGGGAGTTTTGGTAAAAAGCTGGTTCAAATAGGGGCATTTTTGAAAATTTTGACCAACTTTCGAGCACTACGAATAAGGATGCATATTCATTGTCTGAAATGGTCACCAGCGCAACTGGTAATGACCGATAAGGTTCCTGGCCCTGGTTACTACCCTCTTCCATTCCCTCACAGGGCCTTTGAGGCTCGTACTGCCTTCTACTTTCTTTATTCTAGCCGAAAATTTGTGAAATCATTTTTTCTGCTTTGTATTTCTAATTTTTGCAATGTGAAGTGCGGAAAGTTTCGCGTATGGGAAGATTCAAACTTTTCAGTGGCCACTGCTTTCTAGTGCTACTCACTGATCTTAAATAAAAAAAGATTTTAAAAATTAGAGAAAAAACAAGACCTCCTCATCGTACTGTACTT